GAATTGTATTGACCATTTGGTGCACAATTAATTTGAAGTCGGATAAAGATATATATGGGAGCTCTATCCGAATCTGAACCGATCTCGATAAAATTTGGCAAAGATATTTCTGAGCTGCATTTGATATATTTCCCCAAATATTGTTGTTACAGAGTGAACATTACGGCTGCGGAAGACAAAAATAACAAATCGGATGAACAATATATATGGGAGCTATAGCTATATCTGAACCGATCTTCACCAAATTTGGCATACTAGCTTCTAGATTCAATTCGGTCGTAAGTGCCAAATTTCATCCCATTTGGGCAAATATTAGACGTTTGGTGCACAATAAAAGGTAAATCGGACAAAGTTGTATATGGGATATATATCCAAATCGGAACCGATCTCGATAAAATTTAGCAAATTTATTTCTGAGCTGTATTTGATATATTTCCCCAAATTTTGTTGTTACAAAGTACATATTACGGCTGCGGAAGACAAAAATAACAAATCGGATGAACAATATATATGGGAGCTATAGCTATATCTGAACCGATTCGATCAAATTTGGCATACTTTTTTTAATGCCTAATTTGGTTGTATGTGCAAAATTCCATAATTTTCGGACTGACATGCATAAATCAACTCAGAAAGTGATTCTATGGATATCCTTAAAAGTAACTATGGGTCTATCTCGCTTCCTTCTCCATGTTACAAACAAATGCACAAAGACATAATACCCTTACCACTATGTGGTGTAGGGTATAAAAAATCACTGAAAGGAGAATCTGATTTTGCTCTAAATTTTCAAATCTTTATATTAACATCAGTGATAGATCAGGTGCGAAAATGGACAATATCGGTAAACTCCCTCAAGTACCTCCCCCTCAATGTCAACATTTTGAAGGACGATGGTCTCCAAATCACACAGGTCATAATATTTTTATTATTTGCTCCAACTCCAACGATTTTGCTCCAACTTTTCAAATCCTAATATTTGCATCAGTGCTAGGTAAGGTTCGAAAAGGGATAATATCGGACGTACTTGATGTCCCAAACAAGGGGCATCATGTTGAAGGCCGATTGACTCCATCATGGTCTGGTGTGAAGATAGAATATATCAGTCCACTCTTTCTGGTACCTCCGTCACAAAGGGTCAAAAGTTTTAATATCCATGAAGCTCATAAAACGAGAAATCCGATTCCATTCAGACTTGGTACATCTCAATATTTCCATCAACATAATGTCTGTAATAATGATGGTAGAGATAGGACCATTTCTTCTCCTACCTCTCCCCCATAGGGTTCAACATTTTTAAAGAACAAAACGCTCAAAGAAAGCTTAATAAGCATCCAACTCTTTTCAAATTTCACACGTACACACACTATTGACGATGATATATATATCTGCGAACCCCTTTCTGGTACCTCACCCACAAAGGGTGACAATTTTCATTTCATTTATCTGTCATAACTTGCGAAACAAATCAGCGATTCTTTACAACTTGCTATATCTAAATATTTCCCTCAACCAGAAACCTGAGATGAATATTGAATTTATAATTTCGCAGAAAATTGGATATAAATGTTCGATATTCTTGTAATTTTTCCCATGCCAATATTTTTATCGGTATTAGATGAAATATGAAAATAGTATAGTTTGGTCGACTATATCTGGTACATCACGTACATTTAAAAAATATCAAATATCTCATAATAAGTGATGGTAAATTACCAATATAGTCCACCTGGCAAGTCGCTATATTTATATCATATTTATTTATGTCCGATACGAAATCGACAATATTGGCCCATTCCTTGGGAATCTACTCCATAGAGTGTTAACACTTTTAATAATCACAACAGGAGTCAAAATATATTTGTATAATCGAATATTGGCTGAGGGTATAAATCTGTCGGTAAAACCGACTGATAGTTATGCCCTACAATACTATTTGTTGGCGGTATTATAACTTTGATTGGCCCAAAAATGATGTAACACCTCGAAATCTTGGTTTCCCACATAGGAAAGTATTTATGGATCTTCCTATCTCGCCGAGCTGACTCGATCTAACCATGTATATCCGTCCGTCCGTGTGTTCGTCTGTCCATGTTATTTTTGTAATTACTCAACAGGTCGCAATTATAGCCCGATCTTCACGAAATTTAGAATGGAGGTGGTTCTAGGGCCAGAATAGAAGACTATTGCTTTTAGGGTTGAAATTGACCAAAAACTAAAAAATGTCCTGATTTTATGGGGCTAGAGCTTAGGGCTGGGTCGAAGCCTTCCAATTTTAATGGTCATCGGGTAATATATAGTGGGTGAAATATATCATAACATTTGTGTTAAATAAAAGTTAAAATTTACATTAAACTGCGAACATTTTAAATCCCGGCGAACCATTACGTAGATCCCGATAGTAAATATATAGGATATATATATAGCGAAATATATACAATGTATATATACAAAGGAAGGGGATGTTCGCTAGAATGCTTATATCTGAAGAATGGCTGGACCGATTTCTACAAATTTTGTCAATTCATAATGCCCACTTGGCATAAATGTATAAAATCTACAAAATCGCATAAAAATATTTCAAAAGATTTCCCGATTACACAATTGAGCCTGAGAAGAGAGTTAAGGACAGGGAATAATTCTACCATTTTGGATGACCATTGGATTATATTGAGCGGTAAAATGGACCACAACAACTAACAGCACGAAAGAGTGCGTAAATATTGAGCAAATGTCCCTGGTCAAAATGCTAATGATAATATCTGCGCAGTGCTTCATGACATAATTTCAGAAGCGAAATCTTCCAAAATGGATCTGGACATAAGGAGGCTTCTAACATATTGTGGTGTTGTAGGGTTTCACATGGTCGGCGCCGCACGACTTTAGCCTTTGCTTACTTTTTTTATATTTTTTTTCTATATTAGATGAAGTATGACAAGTAAATAAGCTGTAAGTTCGGCCGGGCCGAAATTTGAATGGCCTCCCCCATTTGGTACAAATTTGGAAATTTTCAAAAAAATAAAATCCGTTAAAAATTCTGTTAAAATCTTAAAAATACCGCATGTAGCCATATATTAGGGTCTATACGACGACGTGGACCTGCATAGACAACTTTTGTCACAAGCTATTACAATATACTAAAATATGCTAAAATCATCAAAATACCGTATATTGTCAAATGTCAAATTTGGAATGATTCCGTTAAATAATGACGCTAAAATCATCAAAATACCGAATATCGGGGGATGCGTTATATGGGGGCTATTTGAAGATGCCGACCTGCACAAACAATTTTCTGTCATAGGCTGTAGTATTCATTACGAAATTCAAATACCAAATTTGAAATAGTTCCGGTGAAAATTATCGGTAAAATCATCAAAATGCCGAGTATCGGGGGATACCGTTATATGGGGGCTATACGAAGACCTAGACCTGCGCAGACAATTTCCTGTCATAGGCTGAAATATCAATTACGAACTTCAAATACCAAATTTGAAACAATTCCGATAAATAAAGTCGGTTAAATAATCGAAATACCGAATACCGGATGGTGCCATTATATTGGGGATATATGAAGACGTGGACCTATATAGTCTATTTTCTGTTTTATGCTGTAGTATCTATTACAAACCTCAAATGCCAAATTTGAAACAATTCCGGTAATTAATTTCGCTAAAATCCTCAAAATACCGAATATAGTGAGGTACCGTTATATGGGGGCTATATGAAGACGTGGACGTACACAGCACATTTTCTGTTTTGTGCTGTAGTACCTGTTATGAACCTCAAATGCCAAATTTGAAACAATTCCGGTGAATAATGTCTCTAAAAGCATCAAAATATCGAATTTAGGGGGTTGCGTTATATGGGGGCTATACGAAGACGTGGACCTATATGACCCATTTTCTGCCCTAAGCCGTAGTGTCTATTACGAACTTTAAATACCAATTTTGAAGCAATTCCGGTAAAAAATGTCGCTTAAATCATTAAAATACCGCATATCGTGAGGTACCGTTATATGGGGGCTATACGAAGTCGTGGACCTACATGGCCCAGTTTCAATACTAAAAGTCCTGCAGACATAATACACATTTGAGTAAATTTTTTCCAACTTACTTCATTTCGTTCAGAAGCTAGAGTGATTTCCACAGAAGGACAGACGGATAGACGGACAGACGGACAACGGACAGACATTGGTAAATCGACATAGAATTTTATTTTATTAATATATATATACTTTGTGGGGTCTAAAATGTATATTTTGAGGTGTTACAAACGGAATGACAGACTTAATATACCCTCCATACTATGGTAGAGGGTATAAAATTGGAATACTTCGGTAGACTATATCTGGTTACATTTTCTAAAAATTATGACATATTTCATATAAACTGAAGGAAGTATAGTCCAATTCTGGCACGTCTCAACATTCATATAATATTTATTTAGGTCCGATACGAAAAGGACAATATTGGTCCAGTCCTTCGGAACCTATTCAATAGAGGGTCAACAATTTAAATAATCATAACAGAAATCAAAATATATTTAAGTATTCGAATATCGGCTTAAGGTATACATCTGTAACTTGTTTTGTTTATCATTTAAATTAAATTGCGATAAATAAATAGCAGTTGAAAAAAAAAACTACAATTGCATAATAACATTTACTATGTAAACAAATGTATTTTCTTGTTAAAAATGTATTCAGAAGTGTTTATGTTGTGCAACACAAACTGAAACCCTTATCTTTTGTTTCTTTAAATAATTAAAACCCTCCTGCAATTGTTGCATAAAATATGCAAGAAATTTGCATCTGCACATTCTCTTCTCTTCTTGTTATGCCAGGTCTTTTGTTTTCTCGAAAACAGTAACTTGTAGTTGCCATTCTTTAAGAAAACAAAAGCAATGACCATTATACACATTTGTTAAGATTTTCTTTTTCTTGCATTTGTTTTGGTTTCCTTTCATTCTGAAATTGTTTTTTTCTCTTTATCTTTCAGATAATGCCAGCAATGTGTCACACAGCTTCCATTTGGCTGACATTGGCTTTGGCCGTACAAAGGTAGGTAAACTTTTCATCATCATCATCATCATCACCATGTAAGGACAATAAATGTGTAATTCTGTCCACCTGGGGTGTTTTTAAAAAAGGAGGTGATTCTCCTTGTTGTCGTTCTTCAAAAAATAGTACAAAACATAAACTGCAAGGTCAAGCAAAAAGAAAAATAAATGTGCAGATTATTAAAGTACAAGCACCGCCAAATGTCAGTCATTGCCAAGGGCAACCAAAGTTTAAAAACAAAATCCAGCTGGAAAATTATTTACAAAGGATCTTAAAATATGAAATTATTTTGTGCTTTTGGCAAAAGAACACGATGATAATAAACTTGCATGGGGTCGAGCACTATCGAACAATTGCAGACTATTATAATTAAAATAAAATCTACTCGCAACTCATTAGTTTCGACTTTACTCTATGGTAAATAAAAGTTTTTTGGGTGATTATTTTTAAATATGGTATTTTAAATTCATAATTATAGAAAAATCCAGCATATTATGAATGTAGTTCTCATAAAACTTATTGTACCTAGATATATGATTTATTCTGAGATTCATAGTGAACTTCTGTGCAGAATATTTCTTCCCTTAACACATTCTGCCTAAAACGAAACTGTATGTTACTGTCGGGCGTCAACTCGAAAAACGTCCTAGGAAATATTGATAAAAAAAACAAGTAAAAAAACATTAAGTTCGGCCGGTCCAAACTTTTAATACCCTCCATCTTAGGGTTAAGGAAATATTAGAGCCCATTATGACCCACATATACAAATTTTTAGACATATTCATGGGAAAATGTGACAAAAATCATCAAAATACCGAATATTGGGAAACACGGATATATGGGGCTATTCAAAAACGTGGATCAATACAAACAGTGTTTCGCCAAAAAAGCTAGAACCCATTAAGACGAACAAATACCAATTTCTAGACAAATCAGCGAAGAAATGTGGCAAAAACCATTAAAATGTCGAATACCGGGAGGTACCGTTATATGTGGGCTATACCACATCGTGGACCTATGCAGGCAATGTTTCGCCAAAAGAGCTAGAACCCATAATGAACAACAAATACCAATTTTCAGACAAATCCGTGAAAAAAAGTGGCAAAAATCATCAAAATACCGAATATCGGGAGGAACCGTTATATAAGGACTATACCAAAACGTGGACCTATAATTACAATGATTCGCCACACGAACTGAGACCCATTATGACATACAACTACAAAATTTTAGAGAAATTCGTGAAAAAATGTGTCAAAAATCATCAAAATACCGAATATCGGGAGGTACCGTTATATGGTGGCTATACCAAATCGTGGCCCCATACATGCAATGTTTCGCCACCGGAGCTGGAACCCATTGTGATCAACAACTACCAATTTTCAGAGAAATCCGTGAAAAAATGTGGCAAAAATAATCAAAAACCCGAATATCGGGAGAAACCTTTATATGGGGGCTATACCAAAGCGTGGACTTATACATGCAATGTCTCGCCACACGAACTGGGACCCGTTAGGACATACAAATACCAATTTTCAGACAAATCCGTGAAAAAATGTGGCATTAATCATCAAAATACCGAATATCGGAAGATACAGTTATATGGGGACTATACCAAAACGTGGACCGATATATCTCATTTTCAATACCAACCATCCTAGACACAATACAAATTGCTCTGCTAAATTTTGGCGCTCTACGTCGAATGATGTAGATATATTTTGATGATTTAAGTCACAGTTTCTAATAGATTTGTGTGAAATTTGGATTTTGTGCTTCATAATGTAGTAGTTTAAAGTGGAACACGTTTGAATCCAGATGCTTTTGCATAAAATGTTTTCTTCTTCTCGGCCGAACTTAATGTCGTTTTATTTTTTTCGATCAATTTTTCCTCGGACATTTAAAGGGAGTTTTTAACCATATTTAAACAAGTAAACCAGTAAGGAAAGCTCAAAAGTCGGGCGGGGCCGACTATATGATACCCTACACCACTATGCATATTTAGTAGAGCTCTCGTAAAAAGGTTTATACAGGGCATTTCAGAGCTCTATGAGATATTTGGTAGAAAATCAAAATCTATCTAATTCTATCTAATTCTATAGCTATCTCTGAACCGGGTTTCTACAAATTTTACGTATTAGCTTCTAGACTGAATTCGGTCTTATGTACGAAAATTCAGGTGATTTGGGCTGATATTGACCATTTAGTGCACATTTAACCCGAAATCGGATGAAGATATATATGGGAGCTATATCCAAATCTGAACCGATTTCGATAAAATTTAAAACAGCTGTTCCTATGCTCCATCTAATACCTGGTACCAAATATCACGGTTGTGGAGTGAATATTACGAATGTATGGGACTAAAACACTAAATCGGATGAAACATATATATGGTTGCTATATCTATATCTGAACCGATTTTCACTAAATTTGATATACTTGCTTCTAAGTTGAATTTGGTCCGATGTACTAAAATTCAGTCCATTTGGACTTATATCGGCCATTTGGTGCACAATTAATCCGAAATCGGATGAAGTTATATATGGGAGCTATATCCAAATCTGAACCGATTTCGATAAAATTACAAACAGCTATTTCTGGGCTGTATCTTATATCTGGTACCAAATATCATTCTTGTGGAGTGCATATTACGAATGTGAGAGGCTTAAGCACCAAATCGGATAAAACATATATATGGGAGCTATAGCTGTTTCAGAACCGATTTTCTCCAAATTTGTTGTATTTGCTTTAAGGCTAATCTCGGTCATATGTGCCAAAATTCGGGCCATTTGGGCTGATATTGGCCATTTGGTGGTCAATTAACCCGAAATCGGATGAAGATATATATGAGAGCTATATCCAAATCTGAACCGATTTCTATAAAATTTAAAACAGCTATTTCTGTGCTCCATCTAATACCTGGTACCAAATATCACGGTTGTGGAGTGCAAAGTAGGAATGTTAGGGACTTAAAGATCTCCAAATTTGATATACTTGCTTCTAGGCCGAACTCGGTTGGGTGTGCCAAAATGCTGGTAATTTGGACTGATAGTGAACATTTGGTGCACATTTAACCCGAAATCGGATGAAGATATATATGGGAGCTATATCTAAATTTGATCCGATTCTCACCAATTTCAATAGGGTTCGTCCTTGGGCCAAAAAAAGATTGTTTGGAAAATTTCATCTCAATCGGATAATAAATGCGACCTGCATTTTGTTCACAAGAATACATGGACAGACGGACGGACGGACGGACAGACGGACGGACATGCATAAATCGACTCAGAAAGTGATTCTATGAAGGTTCTCAAAAGTAACTATGGGTCTATCTCGTTTCCTTCTCCATGTTACAAACAAATGCACAAAGACATAATACCCTTACCACTATGTGGTGTAGGGTATAAAAAGCCGGGCCGAACTTTTAATACCCTACACCATTTGGCTCAAATTTGGCTATTTCCAAAAAAAAAAAAATTAAATGCGTTAACAACATACCGAATGCCTATACGACGACGTTGACCTGCATAGGCAATAAGTTATTACAATATTTAAATGCGAAACTTGAAGAAAAATCTGTTTATTATGTAGCTAAAATCATCAAAATACCAAATATAGGGGGTACCGTTATATGGGGGCTATATGAAGACGTGGACCTGCACAGACAAGTTTCTGGCATGGGCTGAAGTATCCATTTCGAACTTCACATGCGAAATTTAAAACAATGCCGGTAAATAATGTCGCTAAAATCATCAAAATATCGAATATCGGGCGGTTCGTTATATGGGGGCTATACGAAGACGTAGACCAGTATCTATTCAAATACCAAATTTGGAACAATTCCGTTAAATAATGTCGCTAAAATCATCAAAATACCGATTATCGGGGGTACCGTTATATGGGGGCTATATAAAGACGTGAACCTGAACAGATAATTTTCTGTCTTAGGCTGTAGTATCCATTACGAACCTCAAATGCCAAATTTGAAACAATTCCCTTGAATAATGTCGCTAAAATCATTAAAAAAAACCGAATATCGGGGGGTACCGTTATATGGGGGCTATATGATATTTTGGACCTACATGGCTCATTTACTGGCAAAATATACATGTGTGTAAAATTTTAGCCTTCTATCTCAATTTATTTGAAAGATAGCGTGATTACAACAGACAGACAGACGGACAGACAGACAGACAGAAATGGCTAAATCGTCTTAGATTTTTACGCTGATCAAGAATATATATATATATGTATATATATATATATACTTCGGTGGTTCTGACATGATTATTTCGAGGAGTTACAAACGGAATGACAAAATTAATATACCCTCCATAGTATGGTGGAGGGTATAAAAATAGTGTTCGTTCTTGGACCAAACAAGAATCGTTTTCAAAAATAATAAATGCGTCCTGCATTTTGTACACAAAAAATACATGGACAGACGGACGGACTGACACGCATAAATCGACTCAGAAAGTGATTCTATGTAGATCCTCAAACGTAACTATGGGTCGATTTCGTTTCCTTCTCCATGTTACATACAAATGCACAAAAATATATTTTATATTTTAGTACCGAACCGATTTTACAATATTTTATGGAAATGTTTTTCTGTTTTTTTTTTTTTTGGTGTACACGTAACTATGGTGTGGTCTGCCAGACCTTCGTAACATGCAGCATGGACGTCCCTTTTTGATCATGTGTTATTTCTATATCATAAATTCAAAATTTGAATTATTTAGGCTAATCTCTTATTGTTGCTAATTCCCAGCGGATTTTGCTTTATATGGGATATACCTAAATAAGATCAATTTAATTAAGGATATTCCTGCAATATAATCTCCCTTATAAAAACCGATATGTGTACACCACACATACAAACTCAATGCCTTTTGGCACTTTCACCACCAAAAATTCTATTTAGACTCAGAATGTATTTCAATCCAAATAGAAAAAGAAAACCGGAATGCTGTAATACCCCCACAGCAATGGAA